TCCTGGCACAGCAGACTCCGTAGCATATAAACCTTCTTATTCAGGTTGGCTGGCTCCCTGAATAAGTCGTACCCAATCAGCTAGTACCCCAAAACTGGCACAGCAGACTTCGTAGCACAAAAAAGTGTGTTGATCTGACTTGGCAACTTTGAAAAAATCACCGTACAGACAGGAACACGTGGAGGCAGCTCATGGCTAGTCTATAGGAGTTGTGCCCTGCTTGACATTTATGCCTCTAGATTTGGCAGCTTAAGCCAACTGAGAGCCTATAGAGTGTCTACTGGAAGATTTAGGAGTCACGCCTCACTTGGCCAATGAGCCCCTAGACTTGACAGCTTGTGTCAACTATAGGAATAACTCTTAGAGCATTTACTAGGAAGTATAGGGAAGTAAGACCGTGAATATCATGGACGCTTGAGCTCCAGGTGTAAAGTGATAAGGAACCTTGTGATGGTTAACATACTTACCATCATCGTTCCTCCAAATTGGAAAATCAAGGTTAAGGTGGTTTAAAACTGGTGGCAGGATTTCCCCTCTCTTGAAGTTTCCCACCTGATGTACAGACCCACTCCCGTGGTGTAAGTAAGTATAGTTGGGTTATAATAGGTGGTGCTAGGATTAGATTAGCTAATAGTTAGTCAGATCTTTTATGTAATGATATAATTAATTCTAAGTAATTAATAAAATTCTCACATGTAATACGCTTTGTCTTTAAAAAAAAATAATTAATTAATTAATTTTAATTTAAGTTTTTGATATATTTTAGATAAAAGAATAATAAAATTGTTAATAATGATTTAAAAATTAGCAAAAATGTAAATTTCCAAATGATATTTATTTAAAAATATGTATTTTATACCTGTAAAAGAATATTTAAATTATTTTAATAACAATCTTTTGTATTTTTAAATAAATTTTATTGCATATACTATATACAATATATATATATAATATTATGTATATATATTTAAACAGTTTTTTTAACAATAGTTTTAATCACAATAAGTATATAGCAATTTTATTTAAGAGTAAAATTTTTAATATCAATAATATTATTACTGTATATATTTATTATAATTTTGATATAATACAGTATTTATATTATAGACAAGTATATTTTTAAACCTTTTATGATAAATAAAACAACTACTTTAAATTGATCAATTATTTGTTAATCTATAAAAATACATAGCATACAACATAAATTGCATTGTGAATTTAAATCATATACTCCATTATGCATATACAATAAAATGTTTAGTTTTAATTTTAAACCTTTCCATAATGACAATAATTAAATAAATATATATTGTGTTACAATAAAATCCACAATTATATTTTTATTTGTAACTTGACAAAATTTATTAAAAAAGAAAAATTAATTTTAAATATAATTCAATTAACATCTATAAAATAATGTTATTAAAATACTTTATTAATTATTTTATTATTTAATTTGATAGTTTAATTTTTATCAAATTTTTTATATTGTACTTTTTAATTTCTATTTAATTTCTGTTTAAAAAAAAAGTAATATACATTTATTTTTATATGGTTTTTGCTTTTTGAATAAAAGATTTTAAAAAGTAAAATAAAAGAATAAATTAATAAATTAACTAATTTTTTAAAGAAAATATTAAATATCAATATAATAAATTTTTAATTAAAATTTTAATTAAATTTATATTTTTTAAAATATAAATTTAAATTTTTTTAAATAAATACTTATTTAATAATTGTAAAAATTTCAAAATTTTGCAGATTTTTTTGCAATACACTGCATATACAGTATATAATAAAATTATTTAATACATTAGCAAAAAAATTTTTTGATTAAATTATTTTTTATATCATTCTGATAAATTAGTAAAATTTAAACCAATTTATTTTGAAAACATTATTCATTATTTAGCAATCATAGTTCATAGCTTATCTTGATAACTGCATTCCGATGGGATTCAATAAGATAAATCGAGCACTTCCGACTTATTAGAGTTAACCAGAATTTCTCTCTCATAGTATGTAGGAAAAAAAAATCAAAAAAAATATAATTTATTATATTATTAGTAGAATGATTCAAACAAAGAAACATTACGAGTGCATTGAAAGCCCTTAATACAATATTAAAAAATGTCTAAAATTAATTCAGTATCGCGAGTTTCCAAGTCGAAGGCGAAGTGTAAATAAAAAACATTGTATGCATACCTCCTTATAATCAATAATTGTAGTATAGTTAGAATAAATTTGTGTTATCCAATCATGGAGGCTTACTTTATAATTATAAAATCGTTTATTTTGTGCGAGAGCGTAGCCCCTTATATTCTTGCTGTAGGACCCGCGAATTTTTTTTGTATCTATCCCCCAAGGCCTGTGACTGGTATTTTTTTGTTTGCGATGAATAAACTAGCGGTATACAAAATTGATTAATAATATAAAAATAAATCAAATAAAAGTATACTACAGTAAATATGACAACGAGCCGGGTGAGAAGTTTTTTAAAAAATTTTAAAATTTCACTTTTTTTATTATTACTACATTATCTATAATAAAGCGCGTGTTTTTGTGCTAAAAGGATTAGGATCGTTTAAGTTAAATGTCAAGATGACTGAAGTCATTCGTAATCGACTTTCAGTCACCTGTGATAGTTTAAAGGAATCCGTTCGTAACAAAAAACATGTACTCATAAAACAAAAGGAAATAAATCAGTAATATCTTGATATTGAAAACCCTAAAATAGGCGTTATGTTATTAAATTTTTATCACCATGACTTTGGTCATGTTAAAATACGATCACATTCAGTAAAATCAACCAATAGAATAATACGCGTACATGGCCGTTGTTGACAGCAATTTGATGAAAAATTATGATTCCGAAGCTTTATCTAGATCGAGAGAACTTACGATTAAATCCCGTCTACCAATGGTTTAATTGCGAACATATGATAATATTCATCTCCCTTTTCATGCCATGCATGTATGTGTCTATTACGAGCAGATTTTTTTTTCAAATTTAAACGACATGGACTATATCTACAGCAAAAGAAAATTCACATACAGTATATACTGTAGTAATAAAAAATTGTAATACAGTACGTAGAATCACATGTATGTAACATACTGTAGATCACTTGAAAAAATGCAGTGTAGCTGTACACATGGACACTCCCCGTGTTATTTAAATTGGAAATCGAAAGATGTATTTATATTCAATATTTTCTTTGAATTCTTAACATATATGGGTGAAATGAAAAATCTTTTGACATAATGCAAAGAGAAAAAAAGGAAGCATCCGAAAGTTTATCGTAGCAAAAAAAAAATTTTTAAGGGGCATCAACTATACTATCGCATAATTGTTACACAGATAAAAAATGCAATCTAATCTTATAAGGCCTCAGTGATCAAAATAAAGTTTTTCCTTCTGTTGTACATTCGATAACGTGTTTGACACCCCCACATTATTTAATAAGTTCTTATATATACATCATAATCGACGGCCTTATGTGAGATCTGAGCCAATGTTACTGGCAGACTGATGCTACACCATTTACTGTATCATGCCATCCAATGTGAAGACGAATACTGTACCTCGTTATACCGGTTATACTTGGTACTGTAATACAGTACATAATTTCCTTAAAGGGAGACCAAAGAGGAATTTATAAGTGCTTTATTATCGCTAGAGACATGTAACAAAGGTTTATAGCGCACCTAATTTGGACATATCAGTAAACAGACTCGAGATCATTAATGCAGCCAATAATTTATCAAAGCAACCAATTGATCTCGTAAACTTTTTATGGTGTGTGGGTTTACGCAGCATTACTAGACTTTTATGGTCACATTATTCAAACTCTGATCATATGTGAATATACAGTATATACAATTTGGAATTTGTGGTATCATAAATAAATTGCGGAAATGTCCGTACAGGCTGTATTTGTGAATGAAATTCCCGGATCACGGAACTTTGCATAAATGTAAAAAAAAAACCATGTAAAACGAGACTACAGTACTGTATATGGTATGGAAGATATTTATGGGATAAACTCCTTAACTCTAAAGTTTCTATATGCTTGTGAAATAATACAGAAGCCTCACAAAAAAAAATACCCCATGTCATTTTTAATTAGTAATAAATCTCAGCCATTGTAAATTCCATATTTGTCAATGCGTTCTTGTGTATAAGGATAAATAAATACAGTAATGAAAATTTGCATGCATCTTGTAACTTCAAAACTTTGTTTTAGAATTTATCCAAACAAGTTGAATGAAAATTATAAAACCTTTTTTTCCTTTATTAATTACCTCTAATAGTAGGAATAATAGCTAGAACAAAATAAATTATTCTCTCATTCATATCGTAACACATCTCCCTAAACTTTTTTTTTTTGTGTAAAAAGGATACTGATCAGATAATATCCGGACAATATTTGCAGATTATTTTATTTATCTATAAATAACAAAATAGAAATTATTATATATCTTTATTGATAGTAACATTTACAGTAACTGTATTCTACGTGTATAAAACTACGCAACTTCGTTATTTGAGAGGAAACCGTATTCAATATCAATTCTTTATAAATAATCTATATTATCGATAAGTTACAGTTTCTTGTAAATGTCTAATATACTCAAAGACATACACGTAATAGTCCTAATCACGAGTGATTCTACAAATAAAATATATTTAATACTAGTTCGTTACCGTGGCATTTCGTTCAAAAAATTTTCATATATGCAGGTAATTTTTCGTAAGCCCATGATTATGATCGTAGCTTAAATCCTTAAGACTGATTCTTCCCATTACTTAAAAGTTACATGATGAACTGATTTCAATAAAAAATAGATGCCACAGAAATTCCAAGGTTTACACGAATATATGTATTAAATATAATTTTCAATAAAATGTATGATGGAGAAAAATAGTTAAAAAATAAATAGACAGAAATGTATGTGCGTATTATGAATATAGTAATTCTTTGAGAAAAAGTAATACTTTACTCATTTCTATACAAATTATTATCCCCTTTAAACAGCATCTCCTTAAAATCCAGTGGCTTCAATGTTTGAGTGGAACTGAGTGGAAATGTATTTCCTTGAATCAAATCGAGTTGATTTTGTCGGAAAATTAAAAAAGAGGTCGTTGTTGTGGAAAGAGATTGTTGATAAGATAAAGTAGGTATTGTTGCTGGTGTTTCTTGAGCAGGGACTGGCGGAAGAGTTAAATCTGCCGCTGCGAGAACTTGTTGGGAGGTCAAAGGAAGAGTCGCTGATGGATCAATAACTTGTTGGGAAGTTGAAGTTGTTGATGATGCAGAAACTTGACCGGAAGTTAAAGGAGGAATCGCTGCCGGAGTAATAACACGTTGGGTACTTAAAGGAAGAGTTTCTGCTGGTTCTGCTGAAGTATGAACTTGTTGATTAATCGAAAGTGGAGTTTCTATTGGATCGAGGACACGTTGGGAAGTTAAGAAAAGAACATCTTCCGGAACAAGAAATTCCTGAGTAGTCGAAGGCGTCACTAATGGAGCAGGAATTTGCTGAGCAGTTAAAGGAAAAATCGCTGCAGGAGCAATAACGTGCTGAGAAAATAAAGGAGAATTTGTTGCTGGTACAAGAACTTGGGAAGTTGAAGGAGTTGATACTGGAGTAAGAATTTGTTGGGGAATCAAATAAGGGATTGCTACCGGAGGCAAAGCTTGTAAATGATCTTGTGGAAGAGGACTTAATAATCGCGAGGGTTGTTGGTAATTCGCCATTGAAATTTATAATAATTTTGATAAAACGAAAACGTTCAAAAAATTTTATTTTTTGGGTATTAAAAATTAGAAAACGCGTACGATTTATATAATTTTTCGTATTTGGTGCACTCTTTTTATTTTGAATGTCTTATTATTTATTGTAATGATAATTATGCCTTTTTATTATAATAATATATATTACGCAATATATTGATTGATTACGTGCCTTTTATTTATAATCTTTATAATCACAAAATGCATTAGATTACACAATAAATGATTTCTCTTTCTGTATAAAACATTGTATGTATTTGGTGATTTGAGCCTTTGAATAAAGGAATCAAATCTGTCTTTGATACAATTGAAGTTCGTTAAATATTTTCTTTATATACTAAAGAAAAAATATATCCGTAGCAAGCTTTGAATAAAACGACTAATTGGACATGCATTTACCGTAACAGTATTCAATTCGTTCCTCTTTGTCGATCGACCAAACGCAAATTTTATAAATTCAGTAGTCTCCGACCGGCCTAACTATAAAGATAATAATACGTCAGATTTCTGCATCACGAGGAATCACGTCGCGTGAAACAATCCATTTTAATCACGTAAAACAATATTATGCATGCTACAATATATTGTATTCCATATGCTGTAAATTAAAATATCTTAATTGGAATTGACAAATATTTTTATGCAAATAAAAGTTTATAAATAATTTTTAACATCCGTTGAAAATTTTAAATTATAAAAAAAATATTAAAATTGTATCAAATATTTATATGTTTATAAAATAATAATGAATTATAAATAAAATTATTTTTACAAATAATGATAATGATTCTAAGAACTATTCGAATGTCGTTAAACATTTGAAGCAAGAAAATAACATTGAGGTTCTCCCCTGGGCGCTGATGTCACCCGATCAAACCCCCATAGAAGATGTTTGGGCAATCATGAAATTGTATTACTACCCTAATAGAAGCCGAGGGTGATTATACTATGTATTTATATTAGAATAGGCCAAATACATTTAAATAAAAAATTTTTTTAATTTATTTTACATTCTTGTGGAGTTGGGGAGATACTTATGGTGGTGACTGTATTAGTGCTATAGTGATAAATAATATAGCTGAGACGTGTTATAATATTTTTGAATAGCATAAGGTTTTTAATCCTATAATAAAATCATCAAAAGCGTTAATTAATATTGTTAATTGAAATTCAAATTTTTTATTTGCTGTATTTTAGCCTGCTTTAAATTTTGGTATCGTCCTGATAAATAAATTGAAAATGATCTATTAAAATCAGTATGTACATGACATATGGTGTAACTAATATCTGAATTTTTTTTAATGCATCTTCGAGGCTTATTTGTTTGTTTCTTTAACGAAACAATATGATTTAGGTAATGATCGTTACTCCTCAAAAATTACTTAAAAGCATAATATTTTAAATTACTAAAAATCACTAAAATATACCAAGTGACACAGATTTGATAGTAATATTATTATAATTAGGTTGCATTTAAATTAATATTTGTATAATCCGTACAGTACATGGCGTGTGATAATAAGGTTTTGAGTTTATTACATTTTTTAATATTTGTTTATACAGTAAATAATCGATCACGAAAAAAATTTTAAAGTTTATAACTTTTTTTGAATAATTATATTGTTATCGGGATATTGGTAAACAATTGACTTTTTTAAACTCTACCAAGTGCATCTTGCGTTTATAAAATATACGCAGAGTTACTTGCGATACAATCATTGAAACACGTTGTTCAGTCTATGTCTATGAACGATAGAGAAATATTTTTGTGTGGAATTCAACACTAGGTTGTAACTCAAGCAATTTAGTCACAAAAAAAACTTTTTCTCTACAATACTGGGCATGGAGCATGTTAGATATCTTTTAAGAAGTTTCACATAATTCACTACAATGTTTATAAAAACGATGTTGGTTCTTTTAAATTAGAAATCACGACACTTCGCTGAATTCCGTAACCATGAAATTATAATAACACTAAAAAGGAGTAACATGAATAAAGATGCAATCAATCGATAGAACTAAACCTTGTATTGAAGAATTATTTAATTACGTAATAATCTCAGAATAGAATGAATCATGCCTGTGCGCTAGGAATATTTTATGTATTTAGATTCAGGGTGGGACATTACATATACGGTAGTAAGGCTAAACAGCCTTGCTAGGAGAATTTGTCATGTAATGTTCAAAAGTCTGGAACAGTTTTTACATGGCGAGGGCCATCTATCGCTAACATATAAATGGATAAACCTGAGTTACCTTCTTTTTGGTTTCTGATAAGCATGCCTTTCTATTTAAGGTTTAAAAGTTTCAAAAAATCATTAAGTGCTGAAAGTCATAAATTACAAAGCGAAATGCAACTTCACGTCCACGACTATTAACTGATTGAAATTTTTTCTGCTTCTGGACATTAAGCCATCGAAAGATTGTTTAAAAATTTTTTTATTGCGACTAGATAAAAATGTTCACAAATTAAGAACGCATAAGTTAAAAAATGGGATTCAGTTGATTACTCTATAATTAACATGTAATTTTTAACAATTAAATTTCCGCCTTTCTTCATTAAAACGTGGTGATAATATAACACCTAGAGCGACAAATTATAAATTCTGGCGGAAATTTTTATTTCTTATTAATTACAATATCTTATTTAACGAAAAAGTGCAACTATAAGGATTATGCAAATAGTAAGAAATTCCGACAGTTGACCTTTGTATTCAATAACTCTTATTTTTCAAATAAGTCTTTTTTTTTTCGCATCAATTAATTTCTAGTTTCATAACTATATAAATCACGAATATTTTTCTCCAGTCTTCTCCAAATTTTTCAAAAAATATGGATCAAACACCCATTCAAAATCCAGAAAAATTGACCAAAGGTAAACTTACCCTATACGAAACGTCCCCAGAAACGAAAGAACCGTGGGATTTTGTTTCTGCAATTCTTGACGGTTCGTCGTTTAATTAAGAAGGTTACATATTATGGTATTGTTAATATTGCAGCATGATCGTGTTAACAAAACCATATCGTAACTTAATTATTTATCATATTACAGGTTGTTTTAACGCCTAATTCAAAGTTTCATTTAAGTCCAATATATAAAAAAAGAGATTTTTTAATATACTGTATAACATCTGTGATTTTAACTTCATTAAGTTATAGTCTGGTTTACAGTATTTATTTTCGAAAATGCATCAGATTTTTAATTATTACGTATCTGATGGCCAATGACAATCGTGGCGTTGATGGCTGAGTCGCAGCCACACGCACGTAAACTTAGTGGCTTATTGTTTACCTAAACGAAAGTTACAATATAAAATATAATAAACTTATAAAAAATATCACATAATACTAATAACAATAAATTATATATACTATATATTATAAAGTATATATTGTACTATATTATTAAAATATAAATAATTATTTGTTTTTATATTTATAAGATTATTTTAAAACTACTTGAACTTTTATATAAAGTTTATTTATTTTTAGAAAATTTTTTTTTGTTTTAATAATTTAAATGCTTTATTTTTCTCGCTATTCTTTTAATGGCTATGTCTAATTTTATTTTATACATTTTAAAAAATATTCTATTTGTATAAAATTTTCGATATTGTATCAATTTATATTTTTTTAATAAAATTTTCAATTTATAATTTAAAGTAAAAATTTAAAATACAATATTTATAAATATATATATATTTATAAATATTGAAAATATAAAAAATAAAGTATAAAATAATCAAGTAAATTTTTAATTTTTACTTATTAAAAATATATATTTTAAATATATAATATATTTTGATTTTAAAATTATATATTATAAAAAAGATATTTTTATAAATTAAAATAATACCAATTTAATAATAATAATAATAATAATAATAATAATAACAAATTTTATATTTTTAATTTAAATTTATATAAATAAATATAAATATATTTTTAATATTTTTTTTTATTTTTTTAAAAAAATTGTAAAAAATAATAATATAATATTTTTAAAATTTTTTTATAATTTTTTTTTTTTGATAAAATAAATAATATTGTAATCAAAATCCGTTTAATCCGTATCTGAGTGGTAGTTTTTAGAAGGAATTAGAGATTATATAGAACAGTCTGTCGTTTCAAAGATAATCTCTCACAAATATTACAAGGTACGACAAAGATTCTCCAATGAATCTTTGTAATCAAAATGTGTTTAATAAAATAATAACGTTTTATTAAGACACACAATCAAAAAGTCAGACGATTACAAGAGTGAGTTATCAAGAACTGCGTGAAAATTACATGAACAGTAGCTACTTATATAATGTTTTTTACCCTAGGCTATCTGGGCTGTCCAAGTTGTCTGGACTGTTCAAGTTGTCTGGGCTGTCTGGACTGCCTGATCTATGTGTCACGATGTCATAATTTCATAGATCATAGGCCTTATAGGTCTTTTGAGCCTTCCGGGCTCTTGGATCTTCTAGGCTGTCTGATCTACGTAATACATGCTATAAATAGATATTTATACTATACTAAAATAATAAATCCTATTACTAAAAATAAACTAATAATAATTCGATAAAAAATAAGTAAAAATAAAACTAAATTATCTATTTTATTACAATATTTTAATAAATAATAACAATTTTTAAATTTCATATATAGCAAAAAATATAATATTTTAGCAAATTTAATTATAAAATATATTTTAATATCTTTGTTTCAAATAAATTCTAGTAAATAATATATTTAAATTCAAGTCAATATTAATATAATTATTATTTTATTTTATTTTTATATAAAAAATATATAATTTGATTGATAAATTTTAAATTTTAATATTATTACAATTTATTAAAATAGATATTATTAATAAAAACAAATATATATATTTTTAAGAACTTTATAATAACAAATATAGTGATCTCATCACATTTAGAATCAAACTGCTTTTAAGTACTCTTCTTATATGAAAA